TTGTTGTTTGGCGGGCCTGGGCTGGGGATTCGAACCTGCCACCTTAGGTGTATGTGGCTGGTGCCTTAGCCGCTTGAGCCACAGGCGCCGAGCCGTGTTTATTATTTTTTGAGACAGAGTTTTACTTTGTTGCTCTGGGTAGAGTGTCATGGCATCATAGCTCACAGCAACCTCAAACTCTTGGGCTCAAGCCATTCACTTGCCTCAGCCTCCCCAGTAGCTGGGACTACAGGCACCTACCACAACACTTGGCTATTTTTAGAGACAGGGTCTTGCTCAGGCTGGTCTTGAATTCAGGAGCCCAAGCAATCCACCTGCCTCAGCCTCCCAGAGTGCTAGGATTACAGGTGTGAGCCACCGTGGCTGGCCTCAGAAAGGTTCTGTAGTTATGAGTGAAGCTGAAATTCTCTGGGCCATCATTGCTTCATGGGAACAATAGTTGCTCCCTCCATGGACTGCCATGTGGATGAAATGAGATGAAGTGTATTAGTTAGGAAGGACTGAGTTAGGCTCAGTAACAAGCAGACCCAATGACACCATAGATCCATCAGCCCAGACTTGCTTCTCATGATTGTTGTGGTGGTGAAGGGAAAACAACAAATTACTCACTTCCAAGAAGTGATACATGCAGACTCTATTCACATTTCATTGGCTAATGTAAGTCACATGGCCACCTGTAATGTCAGTGGGGTGGGAAAGATGACTGTCTTCTAGAATCAGAACTATGGTTACGAGAGCGGCGCCAGTAGCTCAAAGGAGTAAGGCACCAGCCCCATATACTGGAGGTGGCGGGTTCAAACCCGACCCTGGCCAAAAACTGCAAAAACAAACAAAAAAACTCCTTCAGAACCATGGTTACAGGCCAGATGCAGTGGCTCATGCCTGTAATCCCAGCACTTTGGGAGGCTGCGGTGGGCAGATAGCCTGAGTTTATAGGTTCCAAACCAGCCTAAGCTAGAGGGAGACCCTGTCTCTAAAAATAGCTAGATGTTGTGGTGGGCGCCTGTAGTCCCAGCTACTCCGGAGGCTGAGGCAAGAGAATCACTTAAGCTCAAGTGTTAGATGTTACTGTGAGCTATGATGCCAGAGCACTCTACCAGGGACAACAAAGTAAGACCCTGTCTCACAAAAAAACAAACAAACAAAAAAACCCAACATGGTTACAATAACACATAGTATGGGCTCGGCGCCTATAGCTCAACCGGCTAAGGCGCCAGCCACGTACACCTAAGGTGGCGGGTTTGAATCCCCAGCCCGGACCCGCCAAACAACAATGATGACTGCAACCAAAAAATAGCCGGGCGTTGTGGCGGGCGCCTGTGGTCCCAGCTACTTGGGAGGCGGAGGCAGGAGACCTGCTTGAGCCCAGGAGTTGGAGGTTGCTGTGAGCTGTAATGCCACGGCACTCTGCCCAGGGGGACAGCTTGAGGCTCTGTCTCAAAAAAAAAAAAAAAAAAAAAAAAAAAACCACATAGTATGTACAATAGTTAGCACTATGTCTGGTATACAGCAGGTGCTCTATAAATGGGCACCATTGACTCGGTGCCTGTAGCACAGTGGTTACGGCTCCAGACACATACATCAAGACTGGAGGGTTCAAACCTGGCCTAGGCCAGCTAAACAACGACAACTGCAACAAAAAATAGCCAGGCATTGTGGCGGGTGCCTGTAGTCCTAGCTACTTGGGAGGCTGAGGTTAGAGAATTGCTTAAGCCCAAGAGTTTGAGGTTGCTGTGAGCTGTGACTCCACAGTACTCTACTGAGGGTGACATAGTAAGACTCTGTCTCAAAAAAAAAATAAAATAAATAAATAGGCACCATTATAGGAGAGGTTTAAGGGCTTTAATGGCTAATACTTCAAATTATTATGCTTTGTGAAAGGGTAAACTGAGGCCCTCCTCTCTACCCTTCCCTCCCCTCCCCCTGCTTCTCAAAGTGGTGGGAAAAAACTACAGCAGCCATTTCCAAAGAAGCATTTATTGATATTCAGGGTCCATGCTAGAGGCTCTTAAGGCTCAGGGCAAGACTGACAAGACAGATCCCATTGCTAAGGAGACAGCCTAGATTGCAAAGGGAGGACATGCCATGATAGCGGAAGAAATTCTGGCGAAGGGCATTGTATTTGGGGTCCTTCTCCTGTAGCTGGCGGTAGGGGTCAGGGCCCTGGTGGCTGCCTGCCACCTCCCCGCCCAGGCCCCGCTCCTTCTCCACAGTCTGCAGGGCCCACATAGCAGCTGTGGTGTGGGGCTCCAGCCAGCGGGCGTTGATAGTGGCCAGCATAAGGCTCAGGAACAGCAGACAGAGCTGGCAGGGATGGCAGGAGAACAAAGTGAGCCATGTCTGGGAGGCAGCAGGGGCCCTAGGGAGGGCCCTTGTACATCCCCCCAGACTAGAGTTGGATGCAGGACAGTACTGGACAAAGCCGGCCTCCCCCTCTTTCCCAGAGCCCAGACTGAGGTCTCCAAAGCAGAGGTCCAGCTCTTGTATCCTGAAACTGGCAGTTCCTAAGGAAAGGTTTCATCTTCATCTCTTCTATTCCCTACCCCCAAACCCCCTGAGCCTCCTCTCCACAGAAACTGACACTGGGTCCACAGAGAAAGGAAATAAAAAGTCTGTCAAGTTCCAGTTATTCATAATCCTCTCCTGTCTCTGTAAAATTATTCTTGAAACACCTGCCCATTATCTGAGGAACACAATGAGGGCAAGAGGCAGGCAGGGTAGAGGGATCTGAGATACAGAGATGGTGCCTTACCTTGTGGCTGGGGAAATGTGTAGATGGGGGTAGGAAACTGAAAACTCCAAGTCAGGCTGGTTTTGAAACAATGAGCTGGGGTCAGTGCCCCAGCCCAGCTGAGTCACCACAGCTTGGTGGCAGGCCCAGACAGGGAGAGGAGAGGAAGTAGAAGTCAACAGATGGACTCTGGGGGATAGACTAGGCTGATGAGGACAGTTGTGCAAGCTGTGCACTGCTCAAAGGTATCCAGAGCCCAGCTTTGTATCCAACAGGAAGAATGGGGACTTTATTTTCTCTCAAAAAGGTACAACCATTGGAGGTCCTACAGTTGGGGTCCTGAAAACAAGTGTTCAGAGAGTAATGGTCCCAAGCCTGCATACCTGGCTAGCCTCCCAGAATGTGAGCTGAGCCCAGGCATACTGTGAAGCCAAGATGCAGAGGTTGATGAAGGCACAGCCCATGGACGTGTGAAAGTAGAAAGGGAAGAGTTTGCTTTGCACTAGGCCAAAGGTATGTCGGGGAAGGCCTCGGAAAAGCAGGAAGCCTGTGGGATAAGGAGGCCACAAGCCTGTTAGGATACTTCCATTTCCCCCTCTCACTTCTGTCCCCACCACTGGTATTCATGACATCAAGGGAGAGGGGTCCCTACCTGAGACGAAGGTCACCCACATTTGCATGCCCCAGGCACCTGACAAAACCAGTAGGTGGACCATCTTAATCAGGCCTCCCGAGTTCCCGCCTTCCTCCATCTCGCAGCCCTAGGAAGGAGGCACCCGGTGGCTCAGAGCCTTACCTTTGCCCTGTGGCCTTCAGACCCTGTGACACAAATCCAGTAGAGATCCAGAGAAAGTAGCCCAGAAATGACAGTGAGAAAGACTCAAGGCAGTCCTGTGACAACCTCTAACCCTATGTCTCCAAATGTCAGCCCTCAAAATCTCAGGATCTCTGGACCTCAACATCCATCTCAGAAACCCTCAAAGGTCAGCCTCAGAAGTTCAAGCCTACAGCCTTCAGAGATCACCCTGCTGACTCCCAAATATCGCCCCAGGGTTCTAACTGCTAAGATCTCTCCTCTCATGAGAGGATCCCAAAGCACCACGGAGACCCCATCTAATACTACCCCAAATCTCATCCCGAGGACACAGACCCCTCCGTTGGGAACCTGGAACTCCACGCGCAGCACCCAGAATCTGAGATCAGAGGCGCCGGGGCCAGACTAGATAGGCTCGGTACCTCACTCCCACGGTTCACCTCCGCCTCTTCCCCTGGTAGGTCCCACCCTCTCCAAACCAAGAAATTGTCCCGCCTCCCAGCTGAGCTTAGATGTGACTAATCGATTAGCAGAAATCCGCCTGGAATCCCGCCCCATCTGGCTTTTATCCCCTTAAGCTGCAGCTCCTTAGAGGGGCGGAAGCTGGAAGGCACCAATGAGGCCTTCGGCTCCCACGGCGGGGGCGGAGCTAAAATGTCGGCCACACCCCTCTCTGTGACTCTGCCTTCAGCCTTCGCATTTTAATGCGATGGTGTCCCCGCAGGATCAAATTTCAGCGTTAAAGCTGGGGACTGGCTTCGCGGTCCCTGATTGGGAGAGCATGAATAGGTGGTATGTGGTAGGTGGGAGTGGAAGGGAGTCTGGGGTGAATCCGAGTCACAGCCCAGGGGCGGGGCCGAGGTTGATGACCCCGCCCCTTTCCCCAAAGAACTCTCGCAGGAGAAACTGCGGAAGAAAGAACCGAGGTGGGAGGGGGAAGGGAGGCAAGAACCGGGACCTGCTAGCTATTGGCGCTCAGAAAGGCTTCTCCTTTTCCCCTCCAAGCCTTCCAGGGCTCCCATGGTGCCCAGGTCTCGGGGCCCAGGTCTCGTGATGTTCAAGAACATTGAGCTTCCTAATACCGTATGGTAGGCGCTAGCCTGGATTATTTTTCTTTTCTTCTTCTTTTTTTTTTTTTTTTTTTTGAGACTGTCTCACTTTGTCATCCTTGGTAGAGCCATGGCCTTATAGCTCACAGCAACCTCAAACTTTTGGGCTTAAGCAATTCTCTTGCCTCAGCCTCCCGAGTAGCTGGTACTACAGGTGCCCATCAAAACACCCGGCTATTTTTAGAGATATGGTCTCACTTTGGCTCAGGCTGCTCTCAAACTCGTGAGCTCAACAATCCACCCACCTCGGTCTCCCAAGTGCTGGGGTTACAGGTGTGAGCCACCAAGCCCGACCATATTTCTTTTCTTTCTTTTTTTTCTTTTTGAGACAGAGTCTCAAGCTGTCGCCCTGAGTAGAGTGCTGAGGCGTCATAGCTCACAGCAACCTCTAACTCAGACTTGAGCGATCCTCTTGCCTCAGTTTTTCTTTTTCTTCAGAGACAGAGTTTCACTTTGTCGCCCTGGGTAGAGTGCTGTGGTGTCACAGCTCACAGCAACCTCCAGCTCTTGGGCTTAGACGATTCTCTTGCCTCAGCCTCCAGAGTAGCTGGGACCACAGGCACCTGCCACAATGCCCGGCTATTTTTTTGTTGCAGTTTGGCTGGGGCCGGCTTTGAACCCCCATCGGTATATGGGGCCAGCGCCCTACTTATTGAGCCACAGGCGCCGCCCAGTTTTTATATTTTTAATAGAGAAGGGGTCTCGGTTTTGCTCAGGCTGGTCTCAAACTCGTGAGCTCAAGCAATCCACCCGCCTCAGCCTCCCAGAGTGTTAGAATTACAGGCATAAGCCACCGCGCCTGGCCTGGATTATTTTCCTTTTTTTTTTTTTTGAGACAGAGCCTCAAGCTGTCCCCCTGGGTAGAGTGCTGTGGCATCACAGTTCACAGCAACCTCCAACTCCTAGGCTCAAGTGAGTCTCCTGCCTCTGCCTCCCAAGTAGCTGGGATCACAGGCACCCACCACAACACCTGGCTATTGTTTTTGTTTTTTGGGTTGCAGCCTTCATTGTTGTTTGGCAGCCCGGGCTGGATTTGAACCTGCCACCTTAGGTGTATGTGGCTGGTGCCTTAGCCCCTTGAGCCACAGGCGCCGAGCCTGGATTATTTTTCTTAATCAAAACAGTCCAATAACATGGATAATATAACATCTCATATATAGTTGGAGACTCTTGATGTATGGAGAGGCTCAGTAAGGCTTCCAATATCACACAGCTGGGAAGGGTCTGGGATGAATTTAGGTCGTCCAACTGGCAGATCTTCTTGCTTAATCATCATGCTTTACTGCCTCTGGAAGTGAGGACCTCCATGAGGCAGTGCCTCTTGAATTGGTAACCTACAACATTTCAGGCAGAAGAATAACGGGTGCAAAGATTCAGTGAATGCTGAAAGGATGCCCAGCATTCAATTAGGTGCTCAAAAACTATGAATCTACAACAGGATTAAGGAAGATTTTTACAGAGGATATGCTGAGTAGGGTTTTGAAGGGTGTGTTAGGAGTAGTCCAGGCAGAATGAGCCAGGGGAAGGACACCAGGTGAAAGGCCCAGCAAGGACAACAGAAGAGAAAGGACTATATGGCTTGGGGAACAGGCTGAGTGTGACCCAGGGAAAGGTGCCTTTTACCTAGAAGTTTTTCTAGGCAGTCTTACCCTAGATTTCTCCATCTGTGTCAACCCTAACAATACTGGAGGGGGAGGGAGCATTGATGTGAGATACAGAACTGAGTTCTTGTCTGTTCCCAGCCTGACATAGCACAGCCCTGGGCACCAGTGCATCTAAGCTTATTGAATATATATGCCCTGCCTCTCCTGCACACTCTATGTCTCCTATTTACCTATGGAGCTAGATCAAAAGTCCTATGCTTGACCTTCAATGTCTGAACACTCTATTAGGGTTTTGTCCTGCTAACCTCCTGATGATTCTACTTGGGCCTACTTGATGATTCTACTTGACCCTTCTACTCAGGGTCTTCTGAGTCTTTTGTGTTGCCCAGCCCAACCCCTGGAGCTGGGATCATCTTTCATACAAGTACCATAAAGGACAGTCAGTGCTGAGGTCACTCTGGGGGTGTCAGAAAGGCATTGGGACAAGGAGGCTGGTCTCAAGGCAGCCCCTATCCATTCTATTTGCAGCGACCCTCTTTTGGCCGGTGTACCCCGGGACCCTGAATACTCTGTGTCCTACCTGCCCTCACCTTCCTCACCCTCCGTGTGTTTGCCTGCTAACGGGAAGTGTGATAAGTACTGGGGTTCGTTGGGGGGCTGCCCTAGGACTGGGGGACTGGGAGGGGCTGGGAATGCAAGAAGTTCTCTGGGCTGGCCCTCAATGGAACCCTCACCCTCAGGCTCTGCCTCAGACAAGACTTTGCACTATACAACTCACTGGTCCAGGACCTCAGAGACAGAGACAGCGGAACCTGCTGCTTCCGAGGACACAGTGAAAAGTGTAGACTGGAGGACAGGGTGGGGCTCGGGGCCTCAGCCACAAGGGACTCCCTCATTTTCCAACCCGGATCTGCCAAAGGAACGCTGTAACGACCAGGACCTTTTGAAGAGGCTTCACAGCATAGCTAAGGTCACCTTTACTCAAGGAAAACACTGCCACCAATCACAACACAAACAAACCACCAATCAAGGAAAACACTGCCATCTACCAATGTGGGGCTTAGAGAAGGCCCTGTGGGGCAGGGGGAACCTTATTAAGAACACACGTGCGCGCGCGCTCGCACACACACACACACACACACACACACACACACTGTGTTTTCAGCACCCAGGACAGCACCTGGCAAGCAGCAAGCCCTTGATAAACATGTCTTAATGAATGGTTAAAGGAATGAAGGGAAGGAATGTGCATGGTTGTGTATTATCAGTAGAGTTTTGCCTGTAATTGTCTCTGGTTTGACCTTGCTTGTGTGTCTTAGATGTATGCAAGTGGGTGCCCTAGGTCTTATGACTTGTTGGTCTTCATGGCTGTGTCTGAAGTCATGTGTCTGTGTGGCTGTGGTTTTGTCTTTCAGTAACTGTGTTCGTTATGTGTTGAGTACTGTTGATGTACCTTGAAGACATTGTTGACGTCATTTGTCCCTAAGGAGAAGGGCCATTACCTGAGCCTAAGCCAGAGACAGGGCTGGCATTGTGTAGGAGCCAGCCAAGGCTCTGCGCTGTTAAGGAGCAGTCACATAGGAAAAGCCACACAAGTACATTTCTAAGCATGTGTGGAGCAAGGTGTGGGGGAGGTTCATGAATGTGCCTGGCAGTTTTGCCTGCACTCATGGTTTAGGACACCCAGAACTCAGTAGACTCAAGTCTTATCCAGCCCTCCAAACAGGGTTGGGGTGAGCAGGTAGGCAGCCTAGGGACACATTTCCACTCCTCTCTTGTTCACCTTCCCTAGAAGCCTGTGGAGGCCAGCTCTTCCAAAGTCAAAGGTGAGACTCTTTCTTCCCAACAGGACTGTATAAGAATGATTTGCCAGTTTCTCCCTCTACTCTCTGCCCTTGTGTCAGCTGGCCCCTGTTCTGTACCTTAACCCCTATCCCTACCTTTAGTCTAAGCCTCTGCTGACCTCTGCCCTTCCCTTGCCCCCGCCCTGGCTCACCCTCACCTCTGCCTACAGCTAAATCCATTATGGTGGTTTCCGACTCCCAGAAACTTCTGCGGTGTGAACTGGAATCCCTTAAGAGCCAGCTACAGGCCCAGACCAAGGTGAATTACTTCAGCCCCACACCCAGAAATCTTTTGCTCTCTCCTTCCAACACCAAGTCTGACCTCTTCCCCATTAGGCTTTTGAGTTCCTGAACCACTCAGTGACCATGTTGGAGAAGGAAAGCTGCCTGCAGCAAATCAAGATTCAGCATCTTGAAGGTAAGGACTGGTAGAAGGTCAAGGTCAGGCCGAAGATTGGCTCTGGGGGAGGGTGGAAGTGGGTTAGGCCAGAGAAATGGAAGTTGGAAGAATCTGGGTTCTAAAGCAAGGTCAGGCCAAGCTTAGGGCAAAGTAGGTTCAGACCTGGGCTCAAGGCGGGCTCAGTCAAAGTCTCACCCTTTCTGCAGAAGTGCTGAGCCCCACAGGACGGAAGGGAGAGAAGGACGGACCCAGGTGGAGTATGGAGCAGGGCCGGCAGGAGCTGTATGGGGCCCTGGCCCAGGGCCTGGAGGGGCTGCAGAAGACCCTGCGTGACAGTGAGGAGCTGCAGCGGGTCCGCACCACACGCTGTCTGCAGCTCCTGGCCCAGGAGATCCAGGACTGGTGGGTGTTGGTAGAAGGGCTTCCTGGGGGCCAAGGAGGGGGACCAGAGGCAGAACAGTGGAAATGGGAGAGGCCTGGGCAAGCAGGTGGGGGAGGGGGCAGTGGAAAGCTTAGAATGAGAGACTGGTGGGAGATAGATGGCTGGTGTGGGGGCGAAATGGGGGGATAACATTGGGAGGCCAGAGGCAGGAAAGACAGGAAGTTGGAGGTGGGATGGTGACTGAGGCCACAAGATCAGGAAGCTGGGGGTGGCTGGGAAGGCCAAGGTACAGGACACTGTAGAGCAGGAGGTGGGGGCACAGGAGATGGGAAGAAGGTTGAATGAGGGTGGGAGAGGCAGAGAAGGTGGGAGGCTGGGATGTGGAAGAGAGAAGGGGCTGAGGGGGGTGGCAGAGGTTGTAGTAGGACGGGGAAAGAGGGCAGGGAGTGAGGGGAGGGGGATAGAGCCTAGGGCATAGCTGGTTGGAAAGCAGGTGAGAGCCACTGGACAGGGAGCACTGGTCTAGGCTGTATTGTCCCTTCAGCAAGAAGTTCCTGTGGGAGGAGTTGGAACTGGTGCGGGAGGACGTGAACTTCATGTACAAGAAACTACGTGAGTGCCTGGATCCCCAGCCAGGAGTGGGGAGGTCCTTCTGTGCAGCTCTGGTCTCCCTGAGTCCCCTTCCTCCACAGAGCTACAGGAGGGTGAGATTTCAGAGAACCTGGTGAACATCCAGAAGATGCAGAAGACACAGGTGAAGTGCCGAAAGGTGAGTGGAGAAGATTGGGACCTTGTGTAGGTCCCTAAGATATGGGGATCTCTGCCAGCCTCCACCATCAGATTGGAGCCTGAGTTCCAATCCCAGATTGCTAGTCACTGTTGTGTGACTGTGGGCAAGTCCCTGGGCTCCTCTGGGCCACAGCTGCCTCATTTGTATAATGGGTATAATAATGACACATCCCCGGCTTGGCGCCTGTGGCTCAACTGGCTAAGGCGCCAGCCACATACACCTGAGCTGGCAGGTTCGAATCCAGCCCGGACCTGCCAAACAACAATGACGGCTGCAACCAAAAAGTAGCTGGGGGTTGTGGCAGGCGCCTGTAGTCCCAGCTACTTGGGAGGCTGAGGCAGGAGAATTGCTTGAGCCCAGGAGTTGGAGGTTGCTGTGAGTTGTGATGCCATGGCCCCCCAGGGCAACAGCTTGAGGCTCTGTCTCAAAATAAATAAATAAATAATGACACATCCCTATCCAATCTATGTTAACTGAGTGTTAAATACTTTTGAACAGGGCTGGGCACCTTGCTTCATTGTCATTATTGTTATCACTGTTCTCTCATTCTCTCATCACCACCCTGTGCCCTGGCCCCAGATCCTTACCAAGATGAAGCAGCAGAGTTGTGAGACACCTACCTGCCTTGAGAGTGAGGAGATGCTGCCAGGAGGCAGTGGGTGCTGGAAGGATGAACTCCAAAAGGAACTGAGTGACATATGGTGATGCTCAGCTCCCAGTCTGACATCTGACCCATGACCCTCATCTGACCCACTCCTCCCAAATGGACCTCCAGAACTTGGAGCCCACTTGAGTCCAGATAACCCTCTCAACCCTCTCCTCCCAGGACTCACGCCTGCTACCCCTCCCCCCCTTTACCTCTGGGGGTGCTGTCCCCACCCTGAGCAGTCTGGAGTGTCCCAGGGCCTCCGTCTCCCTATCTCCCCATCCCACAGGGCTGCTGTGCACGCGCTGCAGGACTCCATCGACAGCCTCACCATGTGCTCCAGGGCCCGTCCCAGGGACTCAAGCCTCAAGGGTGAGGGAGGCTGAGCGCTGCTCAGGGGTAGGAGGTCATTCTTCAGCTTCACTCATGGAGGTCATGTTCAAAGGGTCTGTTTAGGAATCACATCTGTTAGGTCTTATTCTGTGGTCAGATTAAGGAATCGCTGGAGGTCACATTAGGGAGTCACTTGGGGTTTCATCCAGGAGTCACATTCAGGGTCACTGGGATGTTTTATAAGAGTCAATGAGGTAAAATTCAAGAGTCATTAAGTCATAATTTGGTGTCACTTGGGTCACATTCAAGGGACATGAAGGTCATGGTCAGGGATCATTGAGGTATAAACAGACCTGACCCCATATTGGAGGGTCACATTCTGGATTCCTGTCCCTCTCGTAGGCTGCAAGGAGCAGTGGTATGTGAGGTCTCCACTCCATTCCTGGGACTCAGACTCGGACTCAGACCAAGACCTTTTCCAGCCACCTTTCAGCAAGAGTCGCTCCTTCCCACCAGGTACATAGCCCCAGCCCCTGCTCCACCTGGCCTGCCCTTGACTCCTACTGTATGGTCCCTCGGGGCTCCAATCTGGTCCCTGACCTGCAGCCCTGGGGTTCTCTGGAGCAGGCTGGCTCCTCACCCATCCTCTCTATCTACAGCCTGAGCAGCTGGGACTGCTCTCCCTGAAGACCCTTCCAGAGAGAAAATAAAATAGCCGAGACCCTCCTCTATCCCTGGACTGTTGGTCTTACTGCCTCTGGTGTCTGGGAATCCCCGCCCCCACCTTCCAATTTACTCCTCAGTGTTGAGGTGTAGAGACCCCAGAGGCCAATCCGTACGTGTGGGCCTAGCTTAATCAGGGGCAGAGTGAGGCAAGATTTAGTATATAACAAGCTCAGGAGTCATTCTGTTCACACATCAGTGGCCAGAGAGGCTCGTCCACACTGGCCACAGAGCTGTCCTCTCTGGGGTGCCCTGGCAATCTAGTCCGCGGCCCCTACTGCCCAAATGGGGAAACTGAGGCCCAGAGAGGGAGGGAGGGGCGCGGCGCACGGTCAGGCTCTGAAGCCCCGCCTTTCTTTTCCCCTCAGCGTCCCCCGCCACAGGGCCCTCCCTCTCGAATATCCCTCTAGGGAATCTGAACTAACTCTCCCCGCCCCCAAAGGAACCCGAGGCCCCGCCCTTCACCGCCAAAGAGCCGCCACAAGGCCCCACCCCACGGGGTTATGCAAATAAGCGATCCGGAGGCTCCGCCTCTCCCTCCTCGGGGGAGTCTGCGCCGCGCGGTCGGGCAGGGCAGACCGCGTTTCCATCTCAGCGTCCGGTAGCGCCGCCGGCTGTCTGTCTTGTCTGTCCTCCCGTGCTGGGGCAGTCCAGGCTGAGCAGGGGCTCAGGCGGCGGTGGCCTAGACCCGGTGAGGGGGGCTTGGGGGCGCCCCATTACTCCCTCCCCCGGGCTTCTGACCCTCTGTCGGTGGGTCCTCTGCTCCTGCGGGTCTGGTCCCTTCCGGTCCAGCATGGGGAGGGGGAGGGGAGGCGGTAAGCTGGGGCTTCACGACGCAGCTGAGGAAGGGGAGCGTAGGGAAGGGACCCCTGAGGAGCCAAGCGACGGGGTAGGGGGGTGAGGGTGGCTGTGGGTTACTGTGCTTGTGTGGTTGTCATTGTATGTCAGTGTGTGGTGTGCAGCTCTTATTGTGTGACTATGATTGTGCAGCTTCAGGAGTCTGTCGGGGTGTGTGTGTGTGCATGAGACTGTCATTGTATGGCTGTCGTTGTGGGCACCACTCTGATGGTTGGTGTGTGTGTGTGACTGCCTTTGGGTGGCTGTGTGACTACCACTGAATGTGGCTGTCTTGGTGTCCCTGTGGTGGTGTGCATATGACTGTCATTGTGTGGCCGCTGTTGTGTGTTCACTCTGATAGTGTATGTGTGGCTGTGATCATCTGCCTTTCCAGTGTGGCCCTGTGTGTGAGTGTATATCATGGTCCATCTATGTGCTCTTCCGTGGCCATGTGGCTGTGTTTGTGGATGCACCATGTCTCTCCCATGACTGTCAGTGTGGATGAGACACTGTTGGTGTGTGTGGCTCTTATTGAGTGTCTTGTAATTGGGGGCGTAACACTGTGACCGGTTTTGTTATCCCCACTGTGTCTCTCTCTTTACCGTGACTCATTAAGTGGGTTATACATCCCTGACCATGGTAGGGTGAAGGGTTGTATGGAGGCTGGATGGTGTGTAGGGTCTCCTAATGTGGTCCTCGGTATGTTTGGGAGGGAGGACTTGTTTGATTTATGTTGTCTGTGACAGGCTGTGTGCCAACTGTACCTTGTGTGTGTTGGACACCTGTCTGAATGGGCGAGCCTGTCTTGTACACCAGGAGCCAGCAGCCAGCACAGTGCCTGAAAGTGATCAGGTGCTCAGTCTCCTTGTTGAGGTGGACAGTATGCCATCATGTGTGTGTGTGTGGATGTTTCTGTGGTGTCTGGAATGGAGGCTAATGTTGGGTTATGCACCCCATGGGTGCTGGTGTGGGTGACCCTGTGGCCATCTGGGACCTCTGGCTACCCTCACCACACATCACACTGCAGAGCAAGCCTTGTGCCTACCCTAACCTGCCCAGGCCTCGGTTTCCACGTCTGCACAATGGGGGTGACCATCCCTGCCCTGCTGGGCACTAGGAGCGGCTGTGAGTCTGTGGGCGTGGCAGCAGATCGTGGGAAGCCATAGGGCACTTTCACAGGTGAGATTAAGCTGTTAGAATGGTGAAGCACTAGGGGCTGGGGATAGACTGGGGACAGGGAAGAGGAGAACGTGGAAGCTGACAGCATGGGAGGAGGGGGAAGGAAGGAATGGCAGCTGGGAGAGGAGGAGAGCCTGGCTATCAGCCCAAATCTGGGGACAGAGAGAGGGGCCCCTATGGAGACCATGGGGGAAGGGACTCAGAGGAGTGGTCTGGTGCTTGGTCCCCCTGGAGAAAGAGGATTAGATCCCCTAAAAACTAGTGGGGGGAGGGGTTCTCATAAAGCTGGAGGAATCTTTTCTAAAGGCCCAGGAAGAGGAGTCCTCCTAAGAGGCTTGGGGTGGAATCTCCTATGTAGACTACAGAGAAAGAGGACTACTCTGGGGGTGGTGTCAGGGGAGGCAGGTGTCTCCAGTGGGCAGGGTCAGGGCAAGATGTGGATTACAGGGCTGTGGCCAAAAGGCTCAGGAGGCAGAGCCAGGGCTTCCTATTGTCTTCAAGGCTAGTGGCTAGAGGACTCTCAGATGTGACCTGAGCCTCCCCCTAGGTCCTGTCCTGGAGTCCCCACTCCCTCCCTACCTCCACAGGCCTGGCTTTCACCATGGCAGGAGGAAGACCACACCTGAAGAGGAGTTTCTCCATCATTCCCTGCTTTGTCTTTGTGGAGGTAAGAACCCTAGTACCCTCCCCAAAGGGAGCATGCCCTTCCTCTTTTTCTGTCTCTGCCCAACCTCAGTCTCCCTCCCTATATCCATTTTTCCATTTCTTTGGCTCTGGTCCTGCTGTGTCTCTCCCTGATCCCTCATTCTCTGCCTCTGTGGGATCTCTTTCAATGTCCCTTTTGTCTTAAGAAGTGGTTATAGAGCTTGGACTCAGAAGTGGTGCTCTCTGGGTTCCAGTCCCACTCTGCCTCATCCACTGCAGGACTCTGGGCACTGTGGGTACCCACCAGAGATTCAGTTTCCTCCTTCATCAAATGGGCATCTCTGTAGTTCCTCCTTCTCAGGGCTGTCATAAAGATAAAACATATAATTCATGGAAGAGACTTGGTACAAAGCCCTGCACACAGTAAGGGTTATACCCCTGGTAACTGACAGTGCTTCTATTCCTATTCTTTGTTTACTTGTTGGTCTGTTTCTCCACTAGCCACTATCTGTCTCTCTTTGAGTTTTGACCCTATTCTTACCTTCTCTCCCCAAACCCATCTCTCCTCTCCTCTCTCCTCTTTTCTCCTCTCTTCTTATCTCTTTCTCCTCTCCATCTCTCTCTTTGTTTCTTCCAAGCCCTGACCCTTCTTTCATGTCCTTCTGTATCTCCATCTCTCTGCCTTCCAGGTTCTCTTTAACTCCATCTCTGTGTCTCTGTCTTGTGGCCTCAGCTCGGGCCCTGACCCTCTCTCTTTTTTCCCCACCATGGCTCTGGGTGGCAGTCGGTGCTGCTGGGCATTGTGGTCCTGCTGGCTTACCGCTTGGAGTTCACAGATACCTTCCCAGTGCATACCCAGGGATTCTTCTGCTATGACAGTACCTATGCCAAGCCCTACCCAGGGCCTGAGGCTGTCAGCCGAGCACCTCCTGCACTCATCTATGCCCTGGTCACTGCTGGGCCCACACTTACGGTAAGACTGTGGTAGTCTCCTTGGTTGGGCCCTGGGGAGGACATCCCAGGAGGCAAGTGGGCCAGGTGGAGATGGGTAGAGAGCTGGGCTTGAAGGCCAAGAGGACCCTGCTTTTGTTTTGCTCATAGATCCTGCTGGGGGAGCTGGCTCGTGCCTTCTTCCCTGCACCACCTTCATCCATACCTGTCACTGGGGAGAGTACCATTGTGTCTGGGGCCTGTTGCCGCTTCAGCCCACCCCTGCGGAGGCTGGTCCGCTTCTTGGGTGAGAGATGCAACCCACAGTCAGCTCCATGGTAATGGGGTGTGATGGGTGCAGAGAAAAGGGTCATGGACAGAAAGGAAGAGGGCCTAGAAGTGCCATGGTGGTGGGTCTGGAGGGCAAAGAGACTTGGGTTCAGGCTAGAACCACCTGTGAAAGTGCCTTATGACTTCCCATGGTCTGCTGCCATGCCCACAGACTCACTAATAGAGATTGCAGGGACATGGACAGCCCCTAACCCAGCCATATGAAAGGCTCAAACATTCCACAAGGGAGTCTCAAAGAGAAAAGGTGGACGCAGGAAAAGAAGGAAAACAATGGAACCCCAGGGCAGGGAGATGAGACTCCAGTTACGTTTTAAACGGGGTCCCAGCTGCAACTGGTAGCAAAGAGCTTATCTGTAATGGTCTCCAGAGGGCTGGAGACCCAGTTTGGGTTTATTAGTAGTCCCAGGGAAAGAATAATCAATTCAGTAATAACCAGTCTGGGGACAGCTATAAAGAGGCCCAGAGATTCCCTTCAGGTTTTCTTGGAGGTCCTAGGTCATGGGCCCCAACTTTTTTTTTTTTTTTTTTTTTGAGACAGAGTCTCAAGCTGTTGCCCTGGGTAGAGTGCAGTGGCATCACAGCTCACAGCAACCTCAAACTCTTGGGCCTAATGAATTCTCTTGCCTTAGCCTCCCAAATAGCTGAGACTACAGGTGCCCACCATAATGCCTGGCTATTTTTTGTTGTAGTTGTCATTGTTGTTTGGCAGGCCCGTGCAGGATTCGAACTCACCACCTCTGGTGTATGTGGCTGGCATTCTAGCCATTGAGTTACAAGTGCCGAGCCAGTCTTGGGCCCAATCTTGATGTGATGGCGTTGAAAGGTCCATAATAGGCTTAGCACCTGTGGCTCAAGTGGCCAAGGTGCCAGCCCATATACCTAATTGGCGAGTTCGAATCCAGCCTGGGCCCGCCAAACCACAATGAAGGCTACAACCAAAAAGTAGCTGGGTGTTGTGGTATGCGCCTGTAGTCCCAGCTACCTGGGAGGTGGAGGCAAGAGACTCGCTTGAGCCCAGGAGTTGGAGGTTGCTGTGAGCTGTGATGCCACAGCACTCTACCCAGGGGGACAGCTTGAGGCTCTGTCTTAAAAAAAAAAAAAAAAAAAAAGAAAGGTCTATAATAGGGTTCCAAGGGAGGACCCACTCTGTTGTTGAGACAGAGTCTCATTTTGTTACCCCTGGTAGAGTGGTGGTGTCTTAGCTCATAGTAACCTCCAACTCTTGGGCTCTAGTGATTCACTTGCCTCGGCCTCCTAAGTAGGTGGGGCTACAGGCACCTGCCACAACACCCAGCTATTTTTAGAGACAGGGTCTGGCTCAGTCTGGTCTGGAACCTGTGAGCTCAGGCAATCCACCCTTCTTGGCCTCCCAACTGCTGGGATTACAGGTGTGAGCCACCAAGCCTGGCCCAGGATGCACTCTTGACATAGAGGTCATATCAGAGGGACAGAGGCCAGATGTACTATAATGAGGGTCCCATGGAGAGGAAGCCTAGAGTGCTGTTATGGTGGCCTCAAAGGAAGGAGGACCTTGGCTATGCTATCCTGGGAGTCCCAGGCGTGCTTTAATGGCAGTCATAGGAAGATGGAGATAAGGGTCCAGTGAGGGGGCTCTCAGGAGGAAGGCTGGGGACATTAGGTCCTGAAGCATGAACTCCCTCTCTTCTCCAATTCCCTAGGGGTCTACTCCTTCGGCCTCTTCACCACCACCATCTTTGCCAATGCAGGGCAGGTGGTGACTGGCAACCCCACTCCACACTTCCTGTCAGTATGCCGCCCCAACTACACGGCCCTGGGCTGCCAGCCGCCCTCACCAGACCGGCTAGGCCCCGATCGCTTTGTCACTGACCAGGGCGCCTGTGCTGGCAGCCCCAGCCTTGTAGCTGCTGCCCGCCGGGCCTTCCCCTGCAAGGACGCGGCTCTTTGCGCCTACGCAGTCACCTACACGGCGGTGAGTCCTGGGAGGTACAGGGTCAGAGATGGCGACATAGATTGGGTGGCAGCCAGCAGGCAAGGAGCCCACCACGACTGGAGCCTCTCTAGATGCAGGCCTAGTCTAGGTGCTGTGATACTGCCCCTTGGGCAGGAGCCTACTCCATTAGGTCTCTGGTTCCTTCCCTCATATCCTGGCCACACCCCCGAGCCTGGGTCAGGTGTGGCCCAATTGACTCCGCCCCTTTGGCATCTGACCACACCTCCTGACTCCGTAATGCCACACCCCAGGGAGGCTGTTGACTCCCTCCTATGGGATGAGGACATTGTCCGTAGAGCGCTGGATTCTGAAACCCTAGAGCTTAGCCGGGTCCCCACCATCCTACAGGCCTTGGATGTTGGCTAAGAGACTATGCAGGTGGGTTTGATTCAGCCCCCTGGAGTCCTTGTCCCGCCCCCCCGTTGCCCTGGCAACACCCCTTGCTCTTGACTGAGTTGGCACTTCTAGCTTTGTCGCCTGCTTTTCCCTGGCCATGCCCCCTATTGCTTACACTCCTCTTTCTGGCATCTGGGATTGTGCTTCTAATTTTTGTCAGTAATCGACTGGGGCCCAGGGACTCTACCTCCTGAAGGTCCTGGAGCTGCCCGTTAGCTCTGATTCCACTCTCTGGTTCTGTGGCCATGCCTAGATGCCCCTATCTGTAACTCCGTACTGAGGACGCTGACCTTGCCCACTGCTTTTGGGTGCTCTGGCCATGCCCCATAGCCCTACAGTTGGGGCCCACAGGACACCATGACCCCGATCCTTGGGGACTCTCCCTTTCCACCCCAATCCTTGATCCTTCTCCTTACCATTATGGTCACACCTCTTGCCAGAACCCTCTGGGAGTCCATGACTCCATCCCTGGAACCCCTGGCTACACCCTCCAACCCTGAGGCACTGGCCATCCCCCTTAATGTGAACACAGAGTCCACTTGGGTTCCCAGAATTTCCTCCCCTTGTCCCTTAACCATCTGGTTCCCACAGATGTACGTGACCCTCGTGTTCCGCGTGAAGGGCTCCCGTCTGGTCAAACCCTCGCTCTGCCTGGCCCTCCTGTGTCCAGCCTTCCTGGTGGGTGTGGTCCGTGTGGCCGAGTACCGCAACCACTGGTCCGATGTGCTGGCTGGCTTCCTGACTGGGGCAGCCATTGCTACCTTTTTGGTGAGTCCCCTCCCCAGCCATCCTGACATTGGAGACCCTTATCAGTCTCCTATCCCAAGAGGCAGGACCATATCACAGTGAAGGGTGTGAACTCTATGTTCCCTTGGGCCAGTCCCTTCACCTTACCCTGCTTTGGTGTTCTCATCTGTGAAATGGAAAACCAGGAGCAGGGTGAAGCACTGCAAGGAGTGCAAAATTTAAAAGGGTGGCAAAACACTCAGCAATCAGGATGAATAATTATTTTTTATTTCTGTAGAGTGCTGTGGTGTCACAGCTCATAACAACCTCAAACTCTTGGTCTTTTTTTTTTTTTTTTGAGACGGAGCCTCAAGCTATCCCCCTGGGTAGAGTGCCATGGCATCACGCTCACAGCAACCTCTAACTCCTGGGCTCAA